ACCCAGCACAAGCAGGGTGGACCCGGTGCCAGCCCAGCGTCCCCATCATCTGCCCCAGCAGACTGCAGAGGTGTTTTTATTCCCTTCCTGAGCAGGTATGCTGGAAATTATTGCTTTTTGAACCCTTTTCTATCCCCTGGATCATCTGACGGACCCTGGCCCCTTGCAGAAACCAAGGGTAGGATTCCAGGGATGAAAATCCACTGGGAATTTGACAATAATTGGTGGTCCGGGACGGTTATCGCAGCCGGCAAGTGGTTGCTGATGTAGTTGCTGATGGAGAAGGGAGCCTGGGGGTGCCCCATCCCAGCCCTTGTCCCCCTCATCCCCCCTCACCTGCCCTCCCAGGGCAAACTCCCTTCACATCAATCCCACCTGGAGCGGGATCCGGCTGCCGGCGGTGCCGGGGCGGGCAAATACAGGCATGCGTTATCCTGACAGTTTAATTCTTGTGCTATCTCCGTTTTGATTTAACGAGGGGCTTGTGTCGGGGGGGATCCATAAAGCTGCCGAGAAGCCGGCTCATTCGCATGCTGCAGGTATTTTTCACGCGGTGCCAATTCCCTGGGTCAGGAGAGAGGCGGCTTTTGAAAACAAATTAGACCCCATTATGCCAATTAGACCTCATTTGTCTTTTTATATATATATATTTATTTCTTTTTCTCCCCTTCATTTTTCTTCCGGAGCCGCTCCTGCGTGCTCGGCAGGCTCCCACCCCTCCACCACCTCTGAAAAGGGAGGAGGCAAAAGTAGCCCGGCTCATTTAGACTTAAATTAGCCTCGTTTAAACAAGCTCTTTGGCATAACGGGTCCTTTTGGGCTGGAGGAAGGAGATGGAGCATCTCGCTCAGCAACCCGGCCGCATCCCAGTCTTCGGTCAGCAGCGTTATCCTCGGAGCAGGGCTGGGTTTGTCCTAGAAAAACTGAGCACCCCCGCTCCGGGGTGGAACAGACCCCAGGTCACCCATCATCCTATTTTTTTGGCTGATGTTTCATATGCATATTTAATATATTTTGCCATTAGTCTATATTACTTTGCCATAAAAAAAAAAGGAATAAATCCCACAGACGCGCTCATCACTGGTTTGGAAAATTACATGAGGGATATATATTCCATCTGTGTAGCCAGTTAAGGCATTATAAATTTATACCCCTAATAAATTTAATTCTGGAAGGTTTATGTGGGATTCGAAGGGGAGTTTCAGGGGGAGGAGGGGGGTATTTTCCTCCCGGGTGAGTTTTTAACAATAAACCGATATTTTTAATATTAAGCGCCTCTCCATTTGCTAATAAAAGGAATTGATTACTGTTTGCGGGTTTAATTCTGCTCCCAGGCAAACGCTAAC